AGAATCAGCATAGTATTTCTACTGGGTAAATCGCACTGCATTGTATGCCTGTACCCATACCTGGAGAAGGATACCACCCTGGGTAAAGTCAAGGGTGAGCAAGGCCAAAAGGAAGACTCTCGGTGAGATGGATCGACATAGTGCCCGCAAGAACGGACATGAGAAAGGCTGGAGACTATTGTTCATGCTGGACTGGAATGGACCTGATGCTGCCTAACACCAGCAACAAGGGAATCACACATGTAACCTCCAATCTTTCCCAGCATGATGCCGAACTTACATGATAAAGCATCTCTATTTCATTGTAGCTACTGTGAAAGTCAACACTATGAGTCAACAATTTACACTGAACTTTTCTTCACAAGTAATTATGACACCAGTTAGCTCAGAGTGTAATATTTCTTCATATTTAATAGAATACAAAGAAACCAACCTCTTTTTTCTTCTTCTCGTTTTAGCTTATCTTCTTCTATTTCCTTGGGTAGTTTTTCCTTTTTCTCTTTCTCCACATCATTATGCAAATGTTTCGTCGTGTAGCTGAGTGCTGGTGACAGCAGGATCTCCCCATTTTTACAGAGCTCATCTCGGATTCTAATAAAAAACTGCTCAAGTTCCACTGCATCTTCATAGATTTCCGAATCTGTCCTGTAACGGCAGTAAGCGCATCCGTTGGCATACAAACGACTTATTTCATAAACCTTACGTATTTGCTAAGTTCGTTAACGTGTTAATTAACAAACTAGTACTTCAGTTTTAATTAAGCCTCAGGTCCACCAGCGAGGTCTCAACTCTGTACAGATCGTGGGAAAGGAAAGACTTCTTAGGTCCCCCGGCAAGGCTCAGGGAACACTCCCAACAGACTCCAGCAACAGACACTGACTTGCATCTAATCGTTGGAGTAGTTTCCACTTCCCTTTAGTGGGGACCAACATAATCTAGAAAGTGCCAACAAAAGATTCCATTTTCTTCTCTTTGGTATCAGATCATGGCTGGCAGAGCTACTGGGGACACTGATGCTGGTTTTAGGCCTTAAAAGTCAGTGTTCAGTTTCTCAGAAGTGACTGCAGCTCTGGGAAACCCACTGAACGAGGGAGAAAATGGTCCATATCTCTTTAAGAGCTATTCTGAGCCTCTCCCTCAGTTACAAAACCGGGAGACTAGGCCAAAAGAAATGAGAGAATTTAGGCTGACATTTTCTCAGTATCTCTAGTTCGGTGGGGTCTGAGGACAGGTGTGAGTATGCTGTCTCGGATGGCTGGGACCATCAGCAGGCATAGCACTGTGGTATGGTATCTAACACTGGCAGCCTTCCAAGCCCCGCTTCTTATCAGCAAACTGGCAAACACTGCCAATAACGTCAATGGGTGGTTTTTGAAAAGTTTAAAAACCTATACAGGCTACAGAAATGCTAATATTTGTGGGAAAACAACAAAAAATAAAACATCTAAGACACAATTTTGATGCCTGTTTTCTGAACAACTTATCTGAAGCCTCTCCATGTGAAAAATCAAATGGTACATACACCATTTTATAATGCCTTACAGCTTTCAAAATTAAATTCAAAATGAAAGCCCATTTTTTAGAGTAAGTTCAGGTATTAATTTGTAATTTCACCGTGCCATGTGGTTTAGTAAAGAAAACTTTCTCCAAGTGTCACTCTATGCCTGATCCATTCTTTTACAATTTGCATTATGTAAAGAATTTGTCCGTGTGAGAGACTACGTTTTCTACATGAACAAGAACAGTCAGTCACTCAGAATGGAAGACAAACTCTCATTAACCTCAATGACTGGGTAATCTTTTCATACAGAGCAGACGGTCGGCAGGAGACAAGAATGACCATGAAGTGACCCTTGAACCAAGTTTCTTGTCCCTGTCTCTCCAAGGGTGAATCAGTCCTTCACCTAGTCATCCTGACAACAGACAACAACCAGTGGACAACTGGTGTGTGGGCAACAGACTGTGACTGACCACTGCTGACATATGGACGGGCGGACAGGCCCACCTTCACCTGACTGCACATTTTTCTCGTGCTGCTTTGTGCGTTTCACCACACAGACTCCTGACCTCAGGGCGAGAGTTTTAGGTGCTATTAGGTAGCAGTGGTGGGTAGAGGTGGAGAGGTGATGGAACATGAACTTTGTTGGAGAGCAACGGGGAGATGTACTGCAATGTGGGTTTCACTGGATTCGCGGACACTAATATTTCCAGGACACCCATCTTCTTTATCAGAGTATTGCAGATAAGCCAGTTTATCATGCACTGAACTGATGCATTTCTCATCTCTGCAGCATGAGGTTAATTCTTACTGACTACCGTAAGCAGTCAGAACACTACCTTCATCGAACAGGTAAGAATGGCTTTCCTTATGTTCTGCAAACATGCTCTGAGCATAGGAGTGAAATTACGTGCACCTTGGATCCTACCTCCCAGGGTTCAAAAGCAAAAATCCCTGTCAAAAACGGAAGAATGAAGATAGTTCACTTCTAACGATACAGATCTGCTTAATTCTTAGAATATACCATCTACCCAATTCACAGTTGCTAATAATATAAAAGAAAAAAGCTCTCTGAAAGAATTACAGAGCGATCCCCAGGATGGAATGGGAGCAGGAAGAGTGGCTTTAGACTTAGGGATTATTTGAGTAAACTGAGAACAAACTTGAGCCTTTAAGTAAGCTCAGTGAAAGTAGGGGTTCTGTCCTCTCTGTTCAATGGTGTTTCCTAGCACACATACCATCATCTGGAAGCTACTCAGTGAACACTTGTTTCTTTTCCAAAGAGTTCCTGTAGATTCTGACTTTGTTTATTTCCATCTCCAGTGTCTGAGAATAAGAACTATTTCCTGAATGTGCCCACTGAGAACTCCATGCCTCTGCACATGAGGGTGCTTCAAAAAGTCTGTGGCAAATTAAAGACAACAGAATTTTCCCAGGAGCATTTTAAAGCGCTCCCGCCCAGCTTATCTGTACTCCTCTCCCCCCTACTCAACTGAATCACCTGCTTCCTAGTCTTCTTCCTGGTTTATGCTACAGAGTTCTTATTCCCCACGATGCCACCTCTACCAAGCAGCAGCTGGTTACACATGTCTGGAGTCTGCAGTGATCTTTCTGCAAGGGCTCTGTTTGTCGATCAAGACTTCAAGTTCTCAGAGGGTGGAATTCAGGCCTGCTTATCTCTGGCTGCACTCCCTAACTGGGATCTGAGTGCCTGGCTCAGCAGCCGTGGGAACAAGGTGAGCCGCAACCTTTATGATGAGACTTGGGGGGAACTCACTTCTCTTCCTATACCTTGAGTCTTACCTATGTGGAAAAAGGCTGTAATAAGGATTAGAAATAGTTTCCATAAAATGCCTCTCGTGATTTACAAAGAGCAGGTGCTTAATATGAGCAGCAAGTGCTGTATACATATTTTTTGGAAGACCCACAACAAATGCACCTTCCTAATGGGCTTCACAGCTTCCTCCAGGCATCCAAGCCCAACACCTAGAGGTCTAGCCCTTAGCATGACAAGGCTACGAGCTCCAAGGTCCTCAATTGTTTACATTCCCCACACCGTCACTTCTGGATTGCATGAACCTGTTCTACCTGTTGGCTATACTACTGATGCAACCAAGATATACCAGAAGTCCAAGTTAAAAGAAACGAATCTGATGGAGACTTAAATGTGGTTATTTCTGGGTTGATTTTTCAGAGCACTGAACATCTTCTCTTCAAAAGAGAAATCTGAAGGAGCCTCTATAGCAGCGGTTCTCAACCTGTGGGTAAAGACCCATTTTGGGGGTCGTACAACCCTTCACAGGGGTTGCCCGATTCATAACAGTAGCAAAATTACAGTGATGAAGTAGCAATGAAAATAATTTTATGGTTGGGGGTCACCACCACAAGGAACTGTATTAAAGGGTCGCGGCATTAGGAAGGTTGAGAATCACTACTCTATACGTTCTTGAAATGGTTGTCAAACTTAAATAATGTTGAATTGCAAAGCTACCGCATATATTCGAGTATAAGCTAATCCAAATATCAGCCGAGACACCTAATTTTACTACAAAAACTGCATTAAAAATGTGCTGAAAAACTCGACTTATACACAAGTATAGACGGTATCTTACTTCAAGCATTCTAGGTTTCAACTCTAACTTTAAAAGTTATGCTAGTGTTTCTAATTACTAGCATTGTGACCTTTAAACCCCGCAAAAGGTTGTTTTTTTAAGCATGGATACTTTTGAAGAGACCTTCGATCTTGGCTTACTTTTCACCAGCCTAATCCAAAGCTTCTTCAACTGTGCTACAAATATATCGGGCAAAAAGGGGTCTCAGGTGGCAACAGTCTAAGCACCTCTGAGATGATTCAAAGTGATCCTTCCTTCCCACGCCCAGCATGTGCTCCCCCCAAGTGCTGGCCCATCAGAATTCAGAATCGGCACCCACCATGAAAGCAGGTCACCAACACTGCCCTTCTGCTTTGCATTGAACATCACACCTTCTCAAAAAAGAACTAGCTTTTGAAAACGTACCGATTCATCCTTCTTGCTCTTTCCAGTACTTCAAACATATGTTCTTGAAACAAATCAAGCCGCCGGTATCGATTATTTTCAACATTCTTCCTAATGATGTCAAAGGTAAGGGGAGGTTTGTTGGGAAAGCTGGGGTCCACAGCAGGAATTTCTGCTAAGGAGTCGCTATAGCACCTTCCCTCGTCATCCTGGTGACTCATGACGGACACAAAAAGATTGTGGATCAGCTCTTGGATCAGCAAGGTCACGTTTGGCACATGCGAGCCCTCGTCCCCCTCTAGGGCTGTGCGAGTCTCCAGGAGGACCTTGTGTAGGACGAGGGCGTCTTTGTAGATGAGGGACTCCGGCTCATTGTACGTGCAGGCGTTATTGAACATCATGGCGAAGTCCTCCACCATGGAGTCCATGTCTTGGTACTTGTTGGCCATCATGTGGCTTCGAATTTTCTCCATGTCCATGGGCTTCTTGATGGTCAGGTAGTAGTCGGGAAGCTCGGACCTGGAGGGAAGTCTCAGAAAGATGGCGCTGAGGCGGCGGCCCCTCTTATCCGTGTAGTTCTTCACAGCCTCGTAGACCTCATTCAGTTTCTGCTGCATGGGAGTCATGTATTTGGACTTTTTAGGAGAAATGCCACTTTTCCTACCTAAAGAAAGAGACTTAATGTCATTGGACAAAACTAAAGAAGTGATCCTAAATTTGTATATGGCTGACGGCACAGACACTAAAAATGGGACTATTCCAGGCAATCTGTAAAACCCAGTAATTCATGAGCACATGTCTAGTGAAATCTATCTTGAATGAAGACAGAACCAAAAATAAATTTAAGTTTTCAATAGTCATTTTTGTTAGGAGAGTAGTGAGACAATTGTGAATAAGGTGAAATGAAGCAAATGCGTAGATATGTGATATTCTAACAAAACAGATACAACTGTTAAGTCAGAGGAGACTGAGTAAAAGCCTGCAGCCTTTTACTCTATTAAGTTACACAGGATTTCATGTAAATAAAAGACACACACACACCCGCCTAGCTCTGTTCACTAAAAACACCTGGGAAATATGACCAACTTGGTATTACTTGGTATAGGTACCTAAACTCAAGTTTGGAAACACTAATTCCAACAAAAGGTCAGAGCTCCGTGGTAAGAACCTGATTCCCACTTTACACAAGATGAGCCAGGCATCTGACATAAAGAATCTATCAATAACTTCTTACCATGTCAAGAGGACATAGGAGCCAGCTTGGGACAGAACAAGCATCAATAAAGACAACAACGATAGTGGGTCAGATTCAACACTATGGTTCATTATAGGGGTTCTTATTGATACCTAAAAACCGGGTTAATGCTACCGTCCCCTCGGAGTAGTAGAAAGAAATGGCAGTTGGCTTCTGTAAAGATAATGCCAGGGAGACACTCAAGGAACACAGCCAGACCAGGCGCATTTCTTTACCCGCCGAGGGACGTGTCAGGATGAGTCGATTCAGACCTCATACAGAAAAGTCAAGAAACCAATGTAAACAGTTTTTTCATGAAACAGAGGTCACTGATAAGCAGTTAAGAATTCAAATTGGTTGTATGGAGAAAGGAAAGCAGAAATTGGGTAGGGAGAGGCAGGTGACTGCTGTTGGATTTTTTGAACTATATATTTCTTTGATTAAAAATTTAATATATCTCCTTTTCAGATTCCCTCTAGATAATTTCAGTATACAATGTTAGTTATGAGCCACTAGAATGGGATTGAGTTTTTAATTCAAGCAGATCTCTGTAGTTTTGTAGTCTTACCTGAGCTTATTAATCTGCCTATTTATCTAAAGTTTCCTCAACTGTTAAATGTCTAAGAAAATTAAAAGTAACCCTGCCTTAGTACACAGTAAACTAATTGTGTGTGTGTGTGTGTTACTACCGAATACCATGTTAAGCTGTGAATAAAATTTACACATGTGAAAAAAAAAGGGGTTAGTGTTAAGAGGGCTAATTAATATGCCAAACAAAGAAAAGAACCAGGCCTTTATTTTCCTTTCTAAAATAACCCAAAACAAACCTGGTCTGATTGGATTTCCAAATTTGGATGAGGCAAAGTTTCTCTACATGAGCAAGAAATGATAAAAGGGAACAGCCAGCCACCAAGGGTCCCCTAAGGAAAGAACACACCACCGTGAAGCTGCCTTTGCGCCAAAGGGAGGGAACAAGGGATAAAGCTGAATGTGATCACGCCTTTGGCTTCAACTACGGATGTTCAGGAGAAAACACAGTGCAGAGGAACCAACGATGGGAAGTAAGCTGTAAAAATCCAGGTTGAGAATCTACAGCATAAATCCAAGTAACAGATGATCCCTTTAGGGCCAGTGCTGAGTGGCAATACTGGGAGGGTGGAGGGAAGGGGGGGTAGTAAAGGGGAACCAATTACAAGGATCTACATGTAACCCCCCCCCCGGGAATGGACAACAGAAAAGTGGGTGAAGGGAGATGTTGGACAATGAAAGACATGACAAAAGAATACTAATTTATAAATTATCATGGGTTCATGAGGGAGGGGATGGCAGGGAGGGAGGGGGAAAAATGAGCTGATACTAAGGGTTCAAGTAGACAGCAAATGTTTTGAGAATGATGAGGGCAACAAATGCACAAATGTGCTCGACACAATGGATGTATGTATGGATTGCGATAAGAGTTGTATGAGTGCCCAATAAAATGATTTAATACATCCAAGTAACAAGTAAACTTTAGTGGGATCAGGGAAAAGAGGAGAAGAGAAAAAGAGAGCCGGCAAGTAAGAGACACTTAAAAATCATCATCAATTAAATGCAATGAACAGAGCATCTTCGAATCTTCTCCAAGATAAGATGTAACATAAACAAAACAAACCCAACCCCGTGCCAGAGTGTCCACCCTGACACACATACCGACCCTATATAGGTTTCGTTTATGGAAGCAGGAAACCTCATCTTCCTTCTATGGAGCAGCTGGTGGGCTTGAACCACCAGCCTTTTGGTCAGGAATCCAACATTTACCCCACAGAGCCACCAGGACTCCTCGCGGTACAATTTCAACACAGTCAATCGCATAAGGTATCCTTGCCAATCTGAAAATGCAAGGATTTGCACTGTCAGGCCTGAAGTGTTAATGTCCATTTACAGTAAGGGAGGTATGGGGGCACAGGACTACTGTCTGGAGGGACACTAAGGTCAACTGACATAACAGTCAACAAAGTCTACATCCTATTTACTAACCACTGAGGTCTGTCATCCAAGGTGCACCTGCGGGTCTCTCCCTATCTGAGCGATGGAGAAAGAAGACACATGCAAACAGCAACCGTACTCACCGCCATCAGGTCGGCTTGACTCATAAAGACCCGACTCTGGGGGTGTCTGAGACGACACAGACATCTCTACAGGAGTAGACAGCTGCACCACGCTCTCTCGGGACGGGTGGTGTTTTTAAACTGCTGCCCTTGATGCAAACCACTATGCCACCAGGGCCATGGAAGCAGTTAGCCCAGGGAAGTAATGGGCCCTGAACAGCAGTGTGCATGACCCCAGACGGGACAAGCTATATTGTGCCTAGCTAACAGCTGCACTGAACAAGCTCATTAGAAGGTCCTGGCAAGCGCATGTGTGCGTGCACGTACGGGAATGTGGAACAAAACTCAAAATCAGAACTAAGACCTGCAAAAGGACCAAGTTTCCAGGTCAGACAGACACGGGTGACACTGCTGAGACAAAACTGGGTCTGGAACTGCACTCATGTCTGTGGCTGAATTGCAGGCAAACCAGGCAGGACTGGAGAGGGCGCAGTCACACTCCTGAGGCCTCACACCTCAGACAGGCCGGGATCGAGGAGGCAGCGTTTACTCAAGGACCCAGGTTCAGAAGGGTTAGGAGAGGACGAGGAAAGGAAACAGGGAGGAGGGAAGGGCTATGTTATAAGGAAGGGATTGAGTAAAATGTAACAGAATGTGGATGATTGCTGAATGCAAAACTAACAATTACTCTGTAACCTTCATCCAACTCACCATGAAAAGTGTTCCAAAAACAGAAGGGTGATAAAAGAAAAAGTGAACTACAAGGAAGAAAGATGACTGATCTAAAACGTGGGACCTTAGACAACAAACACAGTGGTCCAGTTTCTTCAGTCAGTCACTGGTGTGAAAAAACTAAGGGGAGAGGGAGAGAATAGATAGATGGCTGTGGATGAAAGGAGATTAAGAGCATGATAATCAAATGTAACATAGAGAACTTTTTCAGGTCCTGACTTGAAATCAATTGTAAAAACACATCAGACAATCAACAAAATGGGAAAAATGTCACAAATAAGATAAAACCAAAGAATTATTGCCAATTTTGATATGACTTCATAGTTATCTTAGAAATGTCCCCCTTTTAACAGATAAGTCCTGAATTCTGTAGCAACGAAATGACATGATTTACAATAATTTAAGAAAGAAAAAAAGGGGATC